AAAATAAAGGAGGGTTTCACTTTCATAGCCCACAGGACACCCTTCATAAATTCACATTTGAAATATTGCCAATTCTAAAGTCATACTGAATGTGTGTATATATATATATATATATATATATATATATATATATATATATATATGTATGTATATCAGTTTCTTGAAAATTGAATAATAACATCTTGAGCTATCAAAAATTAATGTTTTCTCAATTATGATTCATGCAACCAAAAACTGTTCATCCAGTGACTTTAAAAAAGAATTTTATAAATAATATTTTTAATGTAAAGCTGTTATGTCCAGTTTTTATATGCCTTATTTTCAAATTATTTATTTCATTGACTGAATCTTTAAAAAGTAAATCAGAAAACTGCTTTTCTATCTTTGATTTCCACCTAAAGTTTACGAAATATGCACAATACCCAAAATTCTAAATGTAAAATATCTATTAATAAGTATTCTACTGGTTTTAATGAGCTGGTTAATACAGTTGTCCATTGTTGATGAGAGTTAGCTTTCACAAGTTTGCTTTATAATTCACTCCATAAAACATAGCTAATACTACTTAGTTTGGTTAGAGAATTAGTCTATAATAACAAAATTAATTATAAATATGTACAGACTCAGTTTAGATTTTAAATAAGTATTTAGGAATTTCACAATACTTTTTTTTTCCTTCATGCCCTTTGATTTCTGTAATCTACATTTAGAAGAGTTGCATAATTAAATAGGAAATATGTACTATTTATGTAAATAGAAAAGCAAGGAAGTTATACTAAGGGTCTTGTCTCTTTGACATAGTTCTAAATGTTATTTTTAGATTTTTTTTCCTCATTGAAGTTTCTTCTTTTGTTATGTGACCAGGAATTTGGCAGCTGATCTTCTCCTGATGATTCCTGATAATGAGCTACACTTAGTAAAACTCTGTGCTTTCTACCCAGGGTGTACAGAAGAAATAAATGATCTTCATGAAAAGGTATGCTGATGATATTCAGTATTCTAGTTTGGAATGCAGTGCTGTTGTTTGACTAATTTTAGGTTTGGGCAAATAGATTCATGCAGAGAAATAAATACATGGATCCCTTAGGACTCTTTTGTAAACAGAAGAACAACCTTACAGACTGTGGTGCAGGGGGCTTACTCCGCAGAGCAGGTTTCGCCCTAATGGTCTCTGGTGCCTGTTGAAACTGCCCGTTGGGTGTTCCACTTGTGGGGCTAATTGGGTGGTGCTCTGCTGTGGTCTGAAGCTGGCCTTCAGGTATGTTGGTTCTGGGACCTTTTGGGAGGGGCCCTATGCAGGCCAAGGTCACTCACTGTGTGGTACACAAGTTAGTTGAGTGGTTGAGCTGGGGGTCTCAGGGAATCAGCAGGGTGGGGCAAGTGGTGTTCACAAGGTTAATTCAGATTCAGGTTTGGCATCAGTGCTAAGCCTGGGGCTCCTCACTAAAGACTCAGAACATACAGAGGCCAGTTGCCACATGTCTGGGACTCACTGACTCCCAAGAGTTTTCAAAAAAGACTGTAGTGTGGGCCGCGGCTGGCTGCTGGCCACAAAAGTACCCTTGGTGATGTGCCAGCCGAGGCCGACTCTTGGCTGCTGAAAGAGCCTCCTGAGCTGTGTAGAGTAGGGTCCCAGGGTGTCACCAGGGTGGAGCGAGCAGAGTTCACCAGGCCAATCAGATTCAGATTTGGATATGTGTGGAAGAACTCAACATAGGAAAGATGGCACTCGCCTACCAGTTACATGGTTCTACACAGGGAAAACAGCTACTGTCCTTCCAGTCATTGCCCTGAAGCCCCACAACTCAGTCTATCCCTGTATGTCTCTAGTGCCTTCTGAGTCACTGTCCCTCCACTGCCAGAGCCCAAGGTGAATGCCTGCGACTGAGTGAGGCTGTGCAGGGCCCTATAAGAGGACATCTGGGTTTCCAGCTGTCTTCCGTCCCACCTGGAATCCCCACTGTATCTCACAGCCAGATGTTGTGGGGACTTCTCTTCCTGGCACTTTACTCGTGGATTGGGAGCCTGGTGTGGGGCTGGGGTCCTTTACTCCTCCGGCTGAACATCCACAGCCAAGATATCCCTCCCGATTCTCAACCGCCACACACAAGCGTGGGGTTGGTCATTTTTCATCTCTGCCCCTCCTCCCAGTCTTTATATCCTTAGTTATAGGACTTCAGATAGCTCTCCAGGTTGATTGTTCTATAATTTAGTTGTAATTTTAATGTGGTCATGGGAGGAGGCAAGCACAGCATTTATCTATTCTGCCATTTTGCCCCTCTCTCCTGAATATCAGTTACTTTTCAATTATACTTTACATTTATGGGCCGGCCAAGTGGCACGTTGGTTAAGAGCTGGCTTGGGACGCCAGAGGGCCCCGGTTCAGATCCCACATATGAAGGCCAGTGACACTGCCCTCCACAGCTAAGATGCTGAACAACAGCTCAACCTGGAGCTGGGCTACCCTGAGTCGCCGGCGACGGCGTAGGCTGCAGCCCCTGCTGCAGTGGGCTGCCATGGGCTACGGTATGTAGCCAGCAGCCACTGTGAGCGGCCGTCCAGAAGCGGGCGACTGATCTGCCTCGCCCGGGAAGAGTGCAATGATGGTGTCAACTTGGGCCAGTGAAGCCACGTCCTCCACAACTAGACTGAAGAACAAAAGGACAGCAACTTGTCTGTTTCCCTTCCCCCAATTCCCCAGCGCTGTTCCCATCCCCCAATTCCCCAATAAAAATCTTTAAAAAAAAAAATTATACTTTACATTTACTGTGTAGTGTTTTAAGGTACACTAACATATCCTCTGAGGCAAGAGGTTCAGGTGTTAATATTGAGGGTGGAGAGGTTAAATATATGTCTATGTTTTCACAACTTTTAATGATAAGGGCAAGAGTCTTTTCATCACATATCCTAAAGGGATATAATTAGACTCTCTGGTCAGACTTCATTAATATCTCTTTGGAGAGACTAGTTAGTATGAATGAAGGTGTTAATAACTCTGGACAATTTCACAAGTAATGCTACAAATTATATGTTCAAATATTATGTTAACTTACATAACTCTTAGAATTTTAAGATAGGCCAAGAACTACAGGGATGATTATCTTACTCTTCTTATTATATTCTACTTGAGAATGGAATTTCAGTGGGAACCATTTTTTTTTTATTCCCTCTACTTTTTGAGCGTATATCAAAGTGAAGAAACTTTTTTCTATGTAGCCAGGTATAATGCCAAGCACATAGTAGTTGCTCAGTATATAAATGGCATTCAGTGAATAAAGATGGGGAAACAGTATAAAATGTCATATACATGAGAGCTCCTTTAGTGTAGTTTGTTGTAGTTTTTTTTGAGAGAGAGGTTGAGTGATCTAAAATACACAATTTACCTAATTTTTATAAAACAGAAAACCTGAAACTATTGAATAAATTTATTAATTAATAAATACTTTGAATAAACCATCTTAGTAACTTAAGGGGACATAAAAGAAAAATGAGAAGGGAAGAGAGTGACAAATCACAAAGGAGAAGAGATGACGACCTTACTGTGGATAAACCACATTATCTGGAGTCACAATACAAAGCGCTTTTTACAGCAGAAACGCAGTCTCAGAGGTTGCCAAAGACTGATGAGAGAGGCAAATCATTAAACTATTTATAAATGTTGCTTAGAAGCAAATCAACAAACTTAACACTTAAATTTTAAACATCATGAACATAACAGAATTTGTTATTAAAGATAACTTAATTCTTGCTACATTCTGGAAGCAGAACTTACCTGAGGGGGGGGTGGAGTAGACTCAGTTTTATCAGGAAAAAAATTTGAGGAAATGGGAAGTATTGTTTTTCATTTTAAGGTAATGAAATTTAATAGGCCCCAAATTTCCACTTTGTGGCATTTCAGAATGTCAATGCTGAAAATTTTTAGAGCTTGTATATTTTTGCCTTTCTGCCCTAAATGAAGTTGCTTTGTCTCAAAGCCTAAGTGAAATTAATTTACTATGTAGAGGACATGTAAGAGTATATCTTCTATATTTTCTACATTGATGTAATTTTGACTCTGGTCGCATATTTGCTCAAAATAACTCATATCAGCATTTTTTGTCAAATTACATTTGCAACATAATTTGCTAAATTACATTGTGACATAATTCCAATGTCACAAACAAGACAATTGACTTCCATCTCTTTTATTAGGTATTTGTGTGTTGGAAAACTGACTAAATTCCATTAGGTATTACCCTATTTATTATTATTATATCTTAAAGACATTTGTGAAAATCTATTCTACTAATACAAATTATTTCATTCACTATTTGGAACAACTTTAATAAGAAAAACACATTAGATATATTGGACATGTTTAGTACTTACACTGTTGCTTTTATCCCTATAAATTTTAGTAGTATTGTTATCAAACCAATTATTTTCTAGTGCAAGCTACCCACAATAGAAGAATGTATGCAGTTAGCTGAGACAGCCCGTGCAGATGGCAACATACCTGAAACTATAAAGTATTACTTGTTAAGTCAAGAACCCGAAAAAGCCCTTCCTATTGGTATTGACTTCATCAAAGGTAAGTTTTTGGTTGGTAGTATAATTTAAAATTTACTCATTTATTTGATATTTTCATTCATATTGTTAAAAAGTCTTAAAAGCAAGCACTAGCCATCTTAACTTTAAAAAGGAGAAAGATTGTTATTGTATGGTTTCAGTACCAGAAAGAGCGTCAATAGGCAAATACTAGTGAGCTAGAAAATAAAGACAAAGATAGGATTGACCAGAAGACAATTAATTACATAAGTTAAAAATTTCATGAACAATTCTTAATGCTATTATTTAGAGAATCTTTTGTTTGGTTTTATTTTTCCAGAATACATCAATAGTTCAAATTGGACTTTGGATACTGTTTATCCTGTTCTTGACCTATTAAGTTATATTCGTACTGAAAAATTACTGTTGCATACATGTACTGAGTGAGTACTTTTTTTCCGGGATATGTGACTGAAACTATGTAATGTTTCAAAATGGCTATATTGTTTTTGGTGTTTAGATCAATAAATAAGATCATTTTGGACAGGTAGATGCACATGTAGAAAAAAATACATTTTTATTTGTTATAAACTTTAGAAAAAATACAGAGGTGAATTTGAAACAAATAATAAATCTTAGTGGTCCTATTTACTAATATGTAATGTGTGTATGTTTATATATGTACGTGTACACACATACACACACATACATACCTGGTTCAAACACAGGTGATTCAAAGCTTTTGGGTAGTTTGGACCTCAAGTCCTCAAGAAACTAGTGGTCACACTTATTAAATATCCACTGTGTGCAAAGCATACTAGGTTGGGGGAAATAAGTGAAAGTGCTAGAAAGTAAGGAATAGACACCATCCCTGAAAGCAGGTATCTCTTAAGGACATTGTTATCCATGTAACTAAAGTCCCCAGAGACTCTGTATAATTTGTAATAGAGGCTTTGTGCTATTTTTGTTTTAATGCTCATGTGGAAAAGATGATGCCACAGCATGCGAAACTTTGGCCAATTTCCCCGGCAGGAAATGTAGTGGACATTCCTACAGTGTACACAATAAGCCAGGAATTCCTGCGTCTAACCAAATGAGCCCCTGAGGGACAGAGTTCATGAAGAAACAGCCAAGGAATAGAGAAAAACAAGACAGCAGGAGTTAAATGTTATTTAAAACTTTTCCTTTAAATTATAATTTATGTTATAACATAAATGCCTGAATAGGAGTTAACAGATGAAAAAAAATCTTCAAGTTTAGAAAACTTTCTAAACAGTTTGCTATAAATGTCTTCCATTAAAATACAGAGATACAAGTACATTAACTATATATGAGAGTAATGTTCTATTCCTCAAATTATGGAATTTAAAAAATAAATATATTCTCTTTTAGAGCTCGAAATGAATTGCTCATATTGTGTGGTTATATTGGTGCATTACTAGCTATCAGAAGACAGTACCAAAGCATTGTTCCAGCACTTTATGAGTACACAAGGTAAAAACAGTTTCTCTTCTATTATAAAATTAGACAAATTCCTTTCACTAAGACGGTGATTCTCCATGTGTATCATAGAAGGCATCAAATACATACTTTATGCATCCATTTATTCACTCAGCATGTACTTTATAACAATGCAGCAATAAACTATGTTAATTAGAAGTGAACTAGGCTGCAAATCATAGGAATTCTAATACTAGGTTTAGTGGTCTTGTGTCAAGACATTTCAGTTAAGCATTCCAGGGCAGTTACAGCTGCTTGTGAATTCCGTCAGGGACCTGGATTCTTTTTCCCTTCTTTTGCCTGTCATTCTTGACTTCTTCCCTCTTGCTCAACTTTCCTGTGGTTACCCGGTAGCATCTAGCCCTCTGTATACTGTATCTACATCCTCAGCTTTCAGGAAAGAGAGGTAAGGGCTAAAGGATAGCCACTACAGAGGGCAAGACCATCTGAGTCAGGAAGGAAAGTTCTTCTTAGGATGGTATTTCTACCCCCCACATCCAGAACTGTGGAGCCCTACTTTTAAAATAAGATGAGAAACTGAGTATTTTAGCTTTCCAGTCNGGAAAACAAAAAGATTCTTACATTACGATTCATAACAGTAGCAAAATTACAGTTATAGAGTAGCAACGAAAATAATTTTATGGTTGGGGGTCGCCACAACATGAGGAACTGTATTAAGGGGTCGCGGCATTAGGAAGGTTGAGAACCGCTGATCTAGACTATGTCCCCCTCTCTTTCTAGACTCCTGCACACAGTCAGTAAAGAACTGGCAGAATGGTATTTTCAGGATGGTCGAGCAGTGCTGGCTGCGTGTTGCCACCTTGCTGTAGATGATATTGAGGTACCGCATTTCACGTGGTTCTGTAAATGAAAAGTTCTTAAGATGCGTCAGGTGTTTGAAGGGAGAAAACATGGTGCCTTCCTGTGTAAAATCTGGCTTTACATACTTTCCAAGCCTGAATAATTACATGCCTAATAAGTACACATGAACTCTACAGACTGAGATCTGTTTAAAACATTTTTAAAAACTTTTATCACAAGGTCGGTGTTCGTAACAACCTTACTTTAAGTATTTTATTATAAATGAGAAGCAGTAGTTTGGAAAAGGGAAAAGTCACTGCTCTGGCATTCAGAATTCCTGACTTCTGAAAGCACTATTTTTAAGTATACTTTAGCATATTCTTCACAAGTAGTATTTTTAAGTCACTTTCCATTTGACCTGCTAGTGTTATAAAGAAAATATTAAAATTAAGTAAAGATATAGATTCTGTTTTCATGTAGCCTTAGGTATATTGGCTTTTGGGGATAAGTGATAATCATTGTACACTACTGAATAAGCTTTTAAGAATTTGTGTTTTTTTTCTGATAGACTGAAGGACATGTTGAGGATATTGCAGAGACTTTATAAATTACAAAAATATGAGCAAGTGTTCTAAACTCTTTAATTCTGACCTTATAAAATTTCCTGTATGTCTCTTTATCATCTTTTCCCTTTGAAAATTGCAGTTACGCTTGCATGCTTTATAGAAATATTACATTCAATATTTTATAAGAATAACTGATTATAGGTTAACGCAAACGTATGTGTATCTGCTTTATGAGCTTGGCTGGAATGGTGATCCTACCCAGCGTCTGTGAAACTGAAGACATTATTTTCTTGCTGAACAAGCTTGCTATGGCGTACCTGATTCGCGGAAACGAGCTGGAGTTGGCGGTCTGCGTGGGCACAGTCCTAGGAGAGCCTGCAGCACCGGCAACCCACTATGCCCTAGAATTATTGGCGAGAAAATGCATGATGATTCCAATATGGTAAGAATTTCCAAATTCAAAGAATAATTTTATGGTGATGGAATGCATTTTTTTAAATAGTGTAAATTACATTTGATAACATGTGTGTTGTGAGTACGTAGGGTCTCCTTTTTAAATAAAAGATAATGGAAGGAAATGGTGATATAAGAATGAAGTAATGGTGTAAACTACCATGGTTGTATAATAAAACCTACTATGACTCATTGTGAAGTAGCCAAGTTGTAATTCTATAATATTTCAAGCACACGAAGCATCATGAGACAATGATTGTGTACTTAAGATTATCAAGTCCACACATTCCCTCATTTAGAATTCTGTATATCTACTATACTCATTCTTGTCAGATCTTGTGTCTTGGTTTAAGGTTTGGAAAATAATGGAGAGGAATAACAAAGATGGTTTAACTTGGAATAGGCCAGTTTCCCAAACTCAGACAGTATTTTGAGAGACCAACCCTGGACAGTCCCTTGTGTAACCTAAAAATCCCACTCAAATAAATTCTCACTCATACCTCAGCGCCCTGCTCGTAGGGCAGACAGTCCATTCTGGAGGCACTTTTAGGAAAGATATGATACTGTCACTCAATAGTTGTGTGCTGAATAAAGATGACTTTCGACGTTTATCGTCTCTTTTCCCAAAATACCTAGAACCTCAAGAAGTTTCTAAATAAACTTGTTTATCAGGACTTTGACCTCTCCCCAATGTACACCCCATGCACACACATACCACTCTTAGGATGGAGCTATACAGACTGCAATATTGTACACTACACATAATAAGAACAACAATGGCTAACTAACACTTCTGTCCTGCTTACTGTATGCCCAGCACTGATTTAAGTACTTTGCATGTAATAACTCACCAAATACTAGGCAATACTATTGATTTGCCTCAGGTCTCATTAGTAAGTGATAAGAGCCAAGATTCAAAGCTACATGAACTGACTCTGAAGTTTGCACTCTTAGCTACTGTCTTAGTTCAGGCTGCTATAACAAAATACCACAGCCTGGGTGGCTTATAAACATTAGAAATTTATTTCTCACAGTTCTGGAAACTAAGAACTCTATGATCAAGGTGCTGGCAGATTCAGTGTCCTGGTTAATTACTTGCCATCTTTCCCTGTGCTCCCTTGGTGGAAGGGTTAAGGAGCTCTCTGTGGCCTCTTTTATAAGGACACTAATCCCTCAGGACGTAATCACCTTCAGAAGGCCCCACCTCCAAATATATTGGGGATTAGGTTTCAACATATAAATTTGGGGGGAACACAAACACTTAGTCTGTGGTGGCTGTCATACTCTACCACCTTCTTATCTGGGGCTAACTCAGAAAAAGAGCTACGCTTTCCATTCTCCCTTTCTGTCTGGATCTGGGGTCTTTATAGTGAGTCAGGCATCTCAGAGTCATCCTAATTGTTACCATATTGTATAGTGATATAAGAGCTCCCTCTCTCCTCCAAAATGTCATGGTACCCCGCCATCAGTCTTAGACTTAATATTATGCTAAGTGAAATACAGACTGAAAGACAAACACCATGTGATTTCACTTATATGTGGAATCTAAAGAACAAAATAAATGGGCAAACAAAGTAGAAATAGACTCAGAGATATAGAGGAAAAACCGATGGTTGTTGGATGGGGGGAGGGATGGGGAAAAAGGTGAAGGGATTAGAAAGTACAAATTAGTAGTCACAATACAGTCACCGGGATGTGAAATACAGTATGGGAAATATAACCCATCATGTTGTAAAGATTATATAGGGTGCCAGATGGGTACTGGACTTACCAGGGTGATCACTTCATAGATTGCGTAGATGCCTAACCACTGCACTATACACCTGAAGTTGAAGTAGAATAATATTGAATGTCAACTATAAATAAATAAATAAGTAAATAGTCACAGGATGTAAAGTACAGCATGGGGAATATAGTCAATGGTATTATGTAATAGCTATGTACGATGTCAGAGGGGTAATAGATTCAGGCGGTGGGGTTACCATTTTGTGAGGGATGTAAATGTCTAACTATTACATTGCTTGGTACACCTGAAACTAATAAAAAATAAAAATAAAGTGTTTAATGCTGACCATTCTTTGACAGCACCCAGTCTTCCCTCTGTCAAAAACTATAGTAGTCAATTTCATAGTTACTATGACTTGCCTTAGACCCATATCAAAGCATGAGGTCTAACTCAAATTATTTATTCACAAAGGTGACTGACTCCATGCTAAAAGTCATCATCTTATTTAAATAAAATATGATTCATTTTTTTTAAAAAAAGCGAAGTTTAAAAGAAGCAAAAGAGGAATGGATATTAAATTTAAAAGAGGTTTAAAAAAATTTTAAACTGACTATATTCTTAGTTGCTTTTAATATAAAGCAAATTTTTGTTTCCCTATAACTCCCTCCAAAATTTCTTCCTTTATATATCCATAGATATGTGTATGAAAAACCAGGATAAAATTCCAATTCTGAAATATATGATGCTGATGAGGTTTATTTCCTGTGGAAATATGTAAATTTCATGAGTATTAATAGAGCTCCAAAAATTAAAAAAATAATAATAATTAAGTATATAGTAACAATTAAGTAAATAAGTAAGTATAACTTCAAGAAAATGTTCATAATTTTATAAACCAAGAGTTCTTCACATTTTTATATTTACTGATTAAAGTTTGCTTCTTCTTGGTTTTCATTGCATATTTATAATATTCATATTCAAAATAATTTTCTTTTTAGCTTTCCATCTGTTGGATACAGGTATTATCTAGTTTAGAAAAGTATTTTAATTAAAATTTTATAGTTTATCTTATTATTAGAATATCAACTCTATATTAAGAAATTATCATTAACTGTTTTTACATTATTGTTTTACAGAATGCCAATTCATTTATATAATTTATAGCATAGAAAACCTAACTACAAAGTAATGAAAACAGTCCCTATAACCTAGGTACAAAAGAACTCAGGATTTTATACTTACATAAAAAATGAACTGTAGCTTTCTACAATATAAAATAATAGCTAATTCAGCTAAGCAAATTAAAATGCTTGTTCTGGTAGTGAAATTAAAGAGTTTTAGATCATTTGGTTGGTCCTTATCATTTCATTTATATACATTTTCCCCAATTGGTATACTGAATTTTCAGTAAGTAGTGATTTAGACTAAAGAATGAATAAAATTAGCCA